GAAGCCTCCTCATTCGGAGAATATTAAGTAAACCACCCCCCCCCCCGATCTCGCTATCTGTTACACGGCTAATGCAGTGTCTTTTTTTAAAAGAGACCGCTCATTAGAAGAGATTAACACCCTGTAATGTAGTCCTGTTAATGCTTAGTATTCTACCTGAGCTTGAATATTATGCAGCGAGGCGTAATTACCGACACCGTGAAAGTTTTGCGGTGCATGCATGCGGAAGAGTGCACAACCGTTGTCTCGCTGCCACTACTTTTAGATTTCACATTTTAATTAAAAAACTACTTTGAACAAAGCCCCGGGAGGGATTCGCTCAGATAGAAGAGAAAGGAAAAAATAAAAGGCAGAAATTGAAAGCAAAATATTACATGATGCGTCGTCTCAGTTCAGGTTTTTTTTTTTCTTTCTGTTTAAACAAACAGAAGATTGCGACCGTTAAACGGCCGTCGGTTCAGCCGGCTTCAAGGAGCAGCGTGGCCCGGAGGCACGGCGCTGCACCCTGAGGTCGCGTCACGGTTCGGCTACCGCGGAATCTCAAAGGTTAATTCAAAGTCAGCAGTTTAATTCTTCGATAAATCATCCCGAAACCGCTAATTGTTTTCCCTTCTACAGTCAACAGTCAGCACAGGTAGCCCCTCCTCTCTGTCCTCCAGCCACCTTGGAGCATTTTATGAGTTAACAAGCTCAAGTCAAGGCAAGTCTATTAGCCAAATATGATAAGCTTGTGGATCATAATGAAATTGGCTGGATTCCATTTTCAACAAGAGCCAGCAGCTAAGGAAGTTAAGGGGAGGCTTCGGCCCCCCCTCTGCCAGCGTCAGGAGAGCCAGTCACCCGATGCGTTTGAGCCGTTTGACTGAATTCGTTCCGTCAGCTCGGCTTGTCAGACATCACTCCTTAATGGGCGTGTGTCCATATTTATGGGCTTTGGTTCAAGGATGAACGGCACCGGTCATCATTTTTAGTTTTTGTAGGGTTTATGAAATCTCCTTGGTTGCACTGAGAAGATTTTCAAAGCTTCCTTTCCGGTCCTTTAGCACCACACCGTGCCTCGAGCCGGCCATGGCAATAGAGGGGGGGGAGAGCGAGTGCATTCACCGCAAAGACCTGCACGTGTGCCGAGTTAAGTACGTGTGGCATTCTGCTGATCCGCTGTTTTTTCAGGGGGCTTAACATCAGGCGCACGGATGGTGAATGAATTTAAAGCATTTAAGGCCCTTTCAAGTGCAGTAATAGATTTGTGATTATGAGTGACAAAGGTTGGGAGAGAAGCAGGACTTTTCTTTTCGTCAGCAGGGTTCTTGTGCCTCCCCTCTCTCTGCAGCCATCGTTACCGTCCACTTAAAAAAAAAGTTAACCCCATCAGTGAGTTGGTTTAATCTTCCTTAAGTAGATGTCTTCTAATGAAGAAGTCGAAAGGAATAGCTGAGAGGGGAGAAAACAAAAGTGTTGTTCCCCGTTTAAGGCTGGAGTTTCACGAGTCTCATTCTGCAAAGTGACACAAGCTAATTTTGAATAGTTAAGCTTCTTCATCAGGCTGAGTTTTGGAGCTCGAAACAAATCCTTCCAGTCGTTGAGATGGTCAGAACCACATGGCTTCAATAAAGGAAGCACTTTGAAAGACATTTATCTGCTTCTCCGCCAAGAGCTTGAGGAAAAGATTGATTACAGTCTCATGTTTGTAGGTGAAATATGAAGCAGACGGATTAGCAGGAAAACTAGAAATAGCCGAAGCTTTTATTTATATTATTTTGCGAAGATTAAATAAATACACGGATATAAATCTTGTTCGACGTAAATTTGCGAGCTGCTGGGAAATAATTTATGAACATCCGTGGGTCGTAGCTGCTGACTTCACAAAGTCTAAAGGTAGTAGAGAAATAGTTTTCTAATGTTATCATCCCATACATTAATAAAGATAAAAAAGCCCTGCTGTCAAAGGTGATGTATTTATTAGCACTGAAGGGAGGAGCAGGAGGCGATAGAAGTAAAATCAACAAGAAGTACAAGAAAGAAAACTACAAAAACTCCTGAACATAAAGGGAAAGTTAAGATGAAACCTGCACCTGTATCAGCATTGATAGCATCTACTTTTACTCTAATTAAACTTCATAAAGCTTCAGAGAAGTGGGATTGTGGATGTGAAATCGCTCAGTTCAACACTTGCTGATTCATGATTAGTTGTTTATTGTGGTGTCGTGGGACTTTATGGGTGAACTTTTCCCCTTCAACCTTATCTGCATCTCTTCTATGTAAAGGGTCATTCATCCACATTACTATTAAATCACATTAATAAAAACTAAAATGAGCATTAATCACATATAAGATGCACCAATCTCACTCGGATCCCAGTCGAGCTCGGTGGCTCTCAATCGTTTTGGTCGCGGGGCACACATCTGCATGGGATTCTAGGTCTGTAAATCATCGTGAATAAGTACAACGCGAAGCGCTGATCTGGCAACCCTGCATTTACTGTGATATAAATATGGAACATGTGCTGAGCAGATAGATACTGGGGTGACATTAGTTTGCATTTTTTCAGATTTATTTTTGTCGGAAATAACTTGAAAATGGTGTAATTGGGCGCTGCTATAGCTCAGCTGGTGGAGCTGGTGTCCTATATTGAGGGGCTGGAGTCCCTGATGCAGAGGCCGTGGGTTCGAGTCCCGCTCATGGGTCATTCCCCCACATTCCTGTCTCTCTTGACTGTACAATCAAAAAAAGGTCCAAAAAGAAAATGATGCAATTAAAATCGAAGCATTCGTGAGCTGTGGTAATGTTGTATGATCCTACCAATGCCTCTGCTCTTGAGCTTTACAAATCTTAAGGTGGAATTTCTTACTTTTCATTTGCTTCTTCCTGTCAGTCATATTTATGGGATGCTAAGCTTTACTACTTCATATTTAGCGTACAGACATGAATCAAGTCCTGATTGAATTCATTGACCAGACTTAGAAATGTGCCTGCACGTAAATGTGACTTTAAATAATTTAAAAGAAGGCAAGTGTTTCTGATTTTATTCTATTATATGTATTTATTAGGTCAGGATTTAAAGACAGGTCCTTTATTTTGACAGGAGGTTAAATGAATGTGTCATTTGCTCACCTGTGCTCACCTCATTCATTTGCTCGAACTGATTTCGGCCTGGGCTGCAAGGTGGAGCAGTGGTTAGCACTGTCGTAGAAGGTTGCTGGTTCGCGTCCCGGTGAGGACACCTGGGATCTTTCTCCAGCTTCCTCCCACAGTCCAAAAACATGTTGAGGTTAATTGGTGATTCTAAATTATCTGTAGGTGTGAATGTGAGTCAGCTGGGATAGGCTCCAGCCCCCCCGTGACCCTAGTAAGGATTTAGTGGTGTATAGATCATGGACGGATGTATTTATTAGATCAGATTTCAAAGTCAGATCCTTTATTTTGACAGGAAGTCATGTGACTGTGTCATTTGTTCACCTGTGTGCAGCTCGTTTGATAATTAAGGCCTCACGTGTGCGTTTGTGAGTGTTTGGTTCCAGTTTTTAGCTAATTTGACCCTAAAATACTTTGGATCTTATGAGGAATAGTTGCTAAAGTGCAGGTCAACATTGGGGGGAAACAAAAGCTTTACTGATTTCTACTGGAGTTAAAGTTAATGAGCAGATATAATATGGGAATGTGAAGCTCAGTGTCACATCTGTGTTTTACGTAGTGCAACATATATGTCAAAGTAGGATCTTGTCAGTTTTCAAGCTGGATGTCGGCCTAATTCAATAAAACTGACCAAGTCACGGATTCCTTTTCCTGTCTTTAAAATTGTTCTCACTGTTGTTTCAATCACTCTCCAAAAAACACAAATAAATAAATAAATAAAAAAAATACGATGCTGCCAGTCTGACTGAAGCTACCGTAAATTCTCCGCAATCCATCATCCACGCCGTATTAATCATAGACTTGCTGCCATGCACGTCGCGAATTAGCTTTGCAGAATGGAGCCCCTCTGAGATAATCGCTTTTTCATCACCAGCAATGTGACGTGTGACAAATTCAGATGTGGGGTATGATGGGTAAAACAAAGGGCAGACGTGTGTGGAAAATGTCTCTTTGTTCGGCTGCATGTTAGAATATCATTCGGGCGATCCTTCTGTTGTTGGGTTTTTTGTATTTCTGCCACATTATGTAGCACGTTGCTCCGTTTGAAGTCAGTTAAGCAACTCTTTTGTCAGTTTTAAATGGCAGCTTCTGTTTTATAGCGGTTCAAGTTTCTCGCACTTGGATCCGCCAAAATAGCTGAGACTCTACTTAGCTGTGCTTTGAACACAGAGAAGAAGAAGAAGCAGAGTGCAGCACCTTATGTTTTTTTTCCAAAGGTGAAAGTGGCAAAAAAAGGTCTACTGACATCTAGAAAAACTGATATCAAAGTTGGCATTAGGAAGGAGCATTCAGGAGGACTGGCTTGTGATCTCCGAGAAACTGTTTTCCCACTCAGGTTCAAAGTGTGAGTTTAGTGCTTGAAGACTGCCTCCACTGGGAGCTGTCATCCACTTTTCTTTCTTCCTGACACTGCTCTGCATCTGTATTTGAGGTTGCGTGTTATGTTGCCTGACGTGTGCCGCTATCTCAGTCTAGATAAAGAGTCACTCCCGACTTTAGAAAAAAAAGGTGTTTTCGTGCTACAAACACTTGCCAAAATATGTCAATTTTCATTATTCTGGCTCGCTCCGGGGAGCTCCGTCGACTTATGAATGGTGTACATGCTCAAGGAGTCGAGATTTAGTGCCGGTGAAATTGTGGTTGCTGGCTAAGGTCTATTGGTTTTGAGTGAGACTGACAAGCGGGTACATTTGCCTGGAGTTGCAGCGCTGAATGCCAATCTGCATCATAGGAGCCATATTCATCTGCTGCAGCAGGTAAGCCAGAGCCGGGTGATGTTTGACATGACACTGCCATCCAGTGGCGCGATCCGTGAAGTCGTCTGTTGTTTTTCTAAATGGATGCGAGTGATTTAGCAGACGACAATCCACTGTTGGCATTTCTTTAATAAACATTTGCCAAAGGAGGAGGGAGAAGGACAAATTATTTTAGTACAAAAAAAAAAAAAAAAAGACATTGTTTCCTTGTCAAACTCAGGGGAAAGGGGGCGGGTTACGTGTTTTACTCATGATTTTACAACACCGTGGAATTCAACGTGAAAACAGCCTTTTTTTTTCTCCATTAAGTCAGATTTGCTGCAGTAGTCCAAGAGCTACCAGTCCTTATCCTCAAATAGCTCCCTGTGCTGATGCCTAATCCATCGAGCCAATCAAATGAGCCGTCATTGTTTCAACATAATCTTGGCCATTTTTTAAAAAAAAAAAAAAAAAAAAAAAAGGAAAGAGGACATGACATTACTGGTCATATTTCCTAATGGTGCTGACATAGCACATCATCCGCCTCCTTTCATTGCTAAAATAGTTTCCGCCTACTTCAGTCAGTAGTGCAAAACATTAATACTAGTCTGCCCTGGAGCAAGTACAGAAAGGCTAAGGTAGAGATTTTAAAATTTACCTGGCCTGATAAATGTACACTCAAAAAAGGTAAAAGTTTAATTTAAAAGACAGCAGAATAGATTACAAAAAAATATGAAAAATGGTATGAGCAAGAAAAGCTCCTCCGGTGTTATTCGACTGTCCCTCTGCAACGTACTCCACATTCCAGACTGAGGAGGAATACAATGCCTTACACAGATTTAAGTTATTACAAACTGAATGTGCATCTCCGGATCCGTCTCGTCTGGCCTGAGAGGCTTCAGGCTCGTGGCGGAGTCCTCAAGCCTTTTTTGTTCATCGTCACATTTCATATTTCCAGTCTTTCAGAAAGGCAGCCCTCGTCCTCTGATTGTTGCCGTCGAGTTGACGTGCGGGACAAAGCCAAGGGGTAGTGGTGGAGCCCCGACTTGGGAGGGGGAGCCCCAGGGTTGTCCTGGTGCGGGGATGGGCGGGGGAGGAGGCACGCCGTCCTTTCTGGCCATGGCGTGGTTGTACAGGTGGATGGCGCCGGGGTTGGGCTGCCCCTCCACAGGTAAAGGGCTGTGATTGTACTCGAAGCGGTGGTCCTTGTCCCCGCTGAACACCATGCTGCTGGGTCCCGTGGCTCCGGCGCCGGGGGGGAAAGGGTCCGGGTGGGCCGGTGCCAGGACCCCGGGGGCAGTGGAGGAGCCGGCAGCCTGACCGGGCCCGCTAAACACCTCTCTCAGGGTGTGCGGTGGGAGGCCTCCGCCCAGCATGTGACCCATGTAGCTGTCCCCGAAGCCCGCAGGAGTAAAAGGGGGAGGAGGCGGATGGCTGTACTCTCCCCCGTATCCGGAACCCTCTGCGGTAGGGAGAGGTGGGTAGTCTGGCTCCGGGGGTCTCCCTCCATCGCCTCCACCTGCGGATGCAATAGGGGGAGCGTGGCCGGTCTTGGGCTCGGGTGGCGGCTGCCGGTAGTCCAGGTCAGCGTGTGGAGGAGGTTCTGGAGGCTCAGGTGGTCTCTGGTCTGGGGGCAAGATAGATACTCCACCTACCTCAGACACTGGAAAACAAAACAGATACAGTTGTAATGTCCAGAAGTAGATTGTTTCTGAATAGAGATGCAACAAGAAAAACGACGATTTTGATAAATACGACAGATGAGCTTTTTCTTGACTAACTTTATGGTAAACTGAATATTTTAACGTTTTAAACTACTGGTCTGACAAAACAAAATTTTTAAAGTTACCATGTGCTCTAAAAACTTGTCACAAGCCTTATATTTTGAGATTATTAAGGTTTTATAGAACTAACATGGCAGATTCATTGGCAATTAGATTGTTTTTGATGTATTTTTCACTATTTATTTCTTTGTTTTTATCTAATTTCTTTAGTTTCTGCCAATTTAGATTGATTCAGGTACAGCTGTAAAATTAAAGGACTGAGAAATACGAACAAATGGCATCTTAATATAAGGATAATATTAGTTTCAGACTAATTAACTATCTTCCTGCTGACCTGTTGTCAACTTCTCTCATTTACTGGGGCCCTTCCCAAAGACTGTTTTCTCTGTAACTCATTCCATCTCGTAAACCGATGCTGATAAGCGCCCTCGCTGACATTTTTCGAACCAACCAACAATACGGACGCATGGTGATATTAGTAACGGTCGAAAGGCTTCTAAATGAAATGTCGTCATCGGTCCAAAACCAACATTGACAGACAGATAACACCCGTCAGCTTCAAATATTAGTTTTGTTGGAAATTGTTGCGTTAAAATAAATATGGCAGCTTTTATAGTCGCTTTCCTGTTTTGCCCGGTGAGCCTGTGCCTTTGGAAAGCGTTTAATTCTGTCTTCACCTGCCACCGAGGCGTCACGATAAAAATTAAAACAAATAAAAAGCCATAATAATATTAATTCCACCCCAGGAGAGATCTGATGTTGTCTGCAATTAGGTGCGGAAAATATGTGCATATATCAGTTCCAGCAATTGGCCTAAATGAGTCAGAAAATATCAACATGTTGATTGTCGGGAAGAATCCTTTGTTGCGCATATTTTTCTTGCTAGTCTTGGTTCACAAAGAAAAGCTATGTTGAGATGCAGGGCAGGAGGCGGCTCACCTGGAGAGACCGGGCTGGGCTCTGGAGGCTGTTTGACCTCTGGAGGTAGAAGCGGTGCTGCTGCTCCAGCAGGGTTGGTGCTTTCGGTGGCTTCTCCGCCGTCGCTCGGCTCCTGCCTCTGAGCCTGTTGAGCCTGGAGGAGCTGAGCTAGCAGCATGGTCATGGCTGTCTGTGTAGCAGCTGCGGCCTCGCCTTCAGGAATACCTGACGGTGCGGACATCGGAGGCGAAGGAGGCTTGGGCATCGGAGGTGTGCGAGGTACTCCTGCCGGGGCAGCGGGCTGGGGAGGCTTGGCGGGTGCGGGTTGGGGAGGAGGCTCAGCTGGGTCAGGGGGAGCTAAGGCTTTAGAGAGCTGCTGTAACGTCTCCTGGTTGACCTTTGTGCTCATGGACTGGACAAACTGGGCTGTGTTGGCTGAACTCTTGGGCTGGCCAAAGAAGTTCAGGAGGACTGCCAGCTGCTCCTGAGTGAACTGTGAATTTGGACCCTTTGGATCTGTAAGAAAACAGATAATTAACCTGAGCATAGGGGTTCATTATAGGGGATGAAATATTCTAACATCAAAATCCATTTAACAGATTCATCTGGAGCTGCTGACTCAACGAAAAGGTCCAGTTTATAATGATTTATTCACAGACTGAAACAAAACCTACATATGGTTGTGACACCAGTATTACAAGCTCAAGTAAAATGATTAGTCGTTATGCCAAACAGGTCCAACTAGGCTGATTCATCACTGGAATGGGACCAACTGTGACCAGGTGCTACACACCTAAACAGTGTTGTAGGTGTTACCAAAGCTCACTTAACCTCATGTAGTCACCTGCTTTAGGTGACTACATGAGGTTAAATGAGCTTGGGTAATTGTGCTAGCTATGCAGGTGTGTCTTATACAGACTTATAACCTTCACAGGACATTGGAAGGAAATTAATAAAGTGAGTGATGACTTACATTCTGGGTCAAACAGGTATTAAGGCCAATTACTCACGATGACTTTAGAGGTCATACAAGATTTGCTGTTTTGCAGCAAGAATTAAAGTAAATTTGAGGAGCTGTGTTCATATTTCCAACAGTAATACACAGAGTTCCTTGTTTATTTTGCACACCAGTTGTACTTGTCTCAGATTACCTTCATCATACTCGACACTTTGTTTGCACGTCAGCGTTCATTCAGAATAGTGCTCAAGGTTCTACATTGGTGACCAGAAAGCTAATAATAAGACAGTAGAAACCCAAACAGTATTCAAACTCACCGAGCAGTGCAGAAGCAGCTGCATTCTGGGCTTTGATACCTCCAGGGGCAGAGAAACCCTGCGGAGTGTTACTGCGACTGTCGTCGAGGCCCAGCTCTTTGCGTGGCGCCTTAGGGGCAGCAAGTTCTTCTGGCATCTGCTTCTGCCGTCTGCGTTTCTTGCTCCACAGCTCGTGACAGTCCTGCCACAGGGGAAGACTGTGGAGATGGAAACAGTTAACATGGTCATAAGTACGGTTACACACTCCAGGACGACTCTGTTGATGTGAACCATAACATACTCTGGTGGAGGCATCTTGTCCGGATCCACGTCTTTGAGAAACTCGCTGCCCAGCGCTTGTTCAGCCGTGCAGCGTTTGCTCGGGTCCAAGTTCAGCATGTGGTCAAACAGGTCCAGAGCAGATGGAGGGATGCTGAATGGCAACAGAAGCACAAGGTCACGGTGAAATGTAATGCCGGAGGGCCTATTCCACAAATATATGAATAGACATCAGGAAAATGGACTTACAAAGCAAACTCCTCTCGTAACCGTCTCCGGTACTGCTTCTTTGGTTTCATGGTGTTGAAGAAGGGAAGCTTTATTACATCTGGCCAGACAGCGGGGCACGGGCTCCCGCATATTCGGCTGAAAGACAAATTCATTTGTTGTAGCAGAATGCAGCCAAATGTGGACGTAATAGGTTGTAGAGCGGTGCATCACATTTGCCTCCACTGGAACTCATTTTCCGTCCTTCCTTTCGGTCCACAATATGTGGCGGGAAGTGAGGAAAGTAAATCAAGGAACAAGGAAAATGACACACTTGCGTTTCTTCAATTTCATAGCTCGCGGCAACAAAGAGCCGCGCAAAATTTTCGGGGTTTCCAGCTGCAGAGGCGGCCTGCCTCCACTGAATTAAGTGTTCTAATCTTTCCTCTTAACAAAGGGAGTCATGACAAAACAAGTGAAGCTTTTTAATCACAGCTCAGTGGGGTTTGTCAGTGGGAAAATCAGCACCACTTTTACTTCCTGTTTTAGATGGCTGAAACAACTCCTCGGTCCATGTGTCTGGTTAAAATGGCTTCACCGCTGCATGGGAACCCGTCTGTGGTTCCAGGGATTTTGCCTACGCTTACCTAATAAGCTCTAACTGGGCGAGTTCCTGGTTAGCTTGAAAGATGGGTTTCTTTGTGAACAGTTCTCCAAGAATGCACCTGTGATAGAAAAGACACAACGAATGATTATACTAACAAGTGACCAGATGATCAAAACCATAAGAGAGTTTAAAAACAATATACTCTTACCCGCAGCTCCACACATCAATAGCAGGCGTGTACCTCTCTTCTCCCAGAAGCAACTCTGGGGGGCGGTACCATAGCGTGATCACTTTATTGGTGTATGGTCGACTGAGAATCAAAACACGGGACAAGATTAGTACCACAATCGATTCACAACTGAAGTACATCTACCAAAAACACGGGGAGCTCACCTTTCTTCAGAGTTATACAGACGAGCAAGACCAAAGTCTGCGAGCTTTATTTGACCTCTGATTGGGAGGAAAGAACAACGCTGATTAAATCAAGTTGGGGGAAAACATCCTTGACAATGTTATCAGCAAAACAAGACCGTTAAGTCCGGTCAGGTGAGAAAAAATAAATAAAAATCCTGCAGTCTCACTTGTTATTGAGCAGAATATTGGAGCACTTGATATCTCTGTGCAGGAAATTCTTCTTGTGGCAGTAATCAAGCCCCTCCAGCAACTGTCGCATGAAAGATTTGATGTGGCTCTCGTTGAAATGGACCAGGCCCGACTCCAGCAAACCCATCAGGTCATGGTCCATGTATTCAAACACAAGATAAAAAGCACCTGGAGTGAGAGGAAATAAAAAGTTCAACAAACTTTTTTATCAACATGGATAATAAATGTCATGTACGTGTGACCAGAAACTCGTATTACCTTTATCGTTCTTGAAATCCAGAGCATCCTCCTTGTCTGTGACGATCTCCTTCATGTTTATGATGCTCTTGTGGTTGAGTTGTCGCAAAATTTTAATCTCTCGGATAGCTGTGATTGGGAAGCCTTCCTTTTCGTTGTCCAGTCGAACCTTCTTCAGAGCCACCATTTCAGCTACGAGACAAAAGAGAGAAGTAAAACTCATGACGACATCACGAGCTGGTGCCACCCGAAACGGACATTTATCTTTATAACCATTTTATCTCTAAAGAGCACAGAGAAAGGATTCAGTGTTGAATTTCCAACACTGAATCAATTCTCTACATCACAAATGAATGTGTATCTCCAAAAAAAGAAAAACTTACCAGTGTCTTTGTCTTTAGCTTTGTACACTTGACCATAGGTACCTTCTCCTGTGATTCCAATGATCTCAAACTTGTCCACGCATCGTTTTCCCCAATCTATTTCAGTTTCTTTGAACTCACCATATCTGGGGCCACAAATTCTGGGAAATACAGAAAAAGAAATTAATAAAAAAATCAACCTAAGCATACAGCAAACAGTAGAAGCAGGAAAGGAGATTTAAATGCATTATTATATACTTAGGTCTTCGGCGAAGTGTCTTTTTATCCTCGGGGGGGCTGTGCGGGGAAGATGTGCCACCGGGAAGTTCAGGGGGCAGAGGCAAGTCGGTCAGAAGTGGACGAGCCTTCCTCTCTGACTTTTTCTTCCCTGAGACGGAGCTGTCCTTCAAGCTGCAAAAATTGTAGGAGAGAGAGCATTAGCGTACTAAACTACCAAGACCAAAGAAAGACAAACGCACAACAATCTGTCATCAGCACTTCTATACCTTTCTCCTTTGTCAATGTGCTCAAGAACGGTTTGTGGCAAAGGCAGCGATGACAGAGTAGAGATGAGTGGAGCAGCAGCTCGTTCCTTGTCTTTTCCTTGTCCCGGTGCTGGTGCTTTCCTCTTGTCACGATGTACAGAGTCGTCCTTGCCCTTCGCGTCTCTGTCCCTGCTGGTCTGGTGCTCCGTGGTCCTCTTGGACGACCTGTCAGTGGGGGACTGAGGCTGGCTCGATGTGGGAGTTCTGGGTCCCTTCTCTGGCTGAGGTGGGGAGGGAGGGCGGCCCTTCCTGGTTGTGTGATTCGGTTTCGGGCTGGGCTGATGAGCGGCTGAGGAACCCTTGGTTGGAGTCGAAGTGTTGCTGGAGTTCTTGGCCTTGGCGGCGGCTTCTGCGGCTTTAGCCTTTTTCTGCTTGCTGAGCTCAGCGGCGAGGCTGGTTTTAAAGGTGAGCGTGCTCGGCGAAAGACTGGAGGGGCGACTGCGGGAGCGAGAGTGGCGGTGGCGGCTGCGGGAACGTGAATGTCTTGAGGTTGAATACGGGCTTCTGCTACGTGACCTAGCAGATCGTCTGAAAAGAAAACGACACAAACAACTCGTTAGACTGCGCCATGAACAGAAGGAAGGTATTACAGCCAACGAATTAAGGTGTCACATGCAGGAATGTTTTTAACCACTTAATAAAAAAACCAGCTAGTCCAGGCAAGCCAGCAAATATGGTTAGAAAAACCACACATAAAAATATCTGTCCTTGTTTGGGCTGGGGTTCAAACTACAGAGCACCAACCACAACTAACGATTATTATTTTAATTGGTGAATAAAACATCAGAACATGATGAAAAATGGTGATCAGTGTTTCCCAAAGCCCAGAATGAGATCCTCAAGTGTGTTTTGTGCACAACCAGAACACACTGGCATAGAGAAGTAAGGAAACCTGAAAATAATGAATCTTAAGAATTTTAACTACTTTTGTTTCTTCTAATTTCTCAAACTGATTATCAAAATAGGTGGCGATGAATGTAATGGTTAACGACTAATCGGCTAATTACCGTAGCTCTAAACAGCTAATGCAAGGAATTAGCGTCCAGCTGGTCATAAAAGAATTTTTAAAAAAACTAAATCTGCATTGAATTACACGTTTCAGATGAAATTCCTCCAAAACCTTAAGTCCCTACTGGTCAAATCTAAAGCAGCGTTTGGCATGTATTGAGCAAATCCAATATATTCACCGTGCCAGTAGAGGACACTGAACAAACGGAACACTTATCATCCCATTAGCTGCACTGTAAGTACTCACCTGACATCTGGACTTGGGCTTAGGGACTTCCTGTATGGACTTCGTGATCTCCTGCGGTTTCCATAAGGACTGGAGCCAAACTCGCCTTGTTCGTATGGACTGTGTCGGCCATAACTTGGTGACCTGCGCCAATTCACCGGGCTCGCAGGGGATCGCTTCCTTTTGTTGCTCGAGTATGAACTGGGGGACTTTGTCACACCATACGCCCCATACACATCTGAATCCCGACTGTAATACGTGGAGCTGGGGGAAAGTCTTTTGCTCCCATAAGTTGGACTTCTTCTAGATATCAGCTGGTTATAACCACCAGGGGACTGGTAGCTGTATGAATACGATGTCCCATAGGGACTTTCTGCTTTAAAACCAGGACTTCTCCTGTATGCCCTGAGGTCGTCTCGGTCATCTCTGTAAGATTGTGGAGCATCTCTGTATGCAGACGGGGGCTCTTTGTCAGACCTTGTTTTACTTCTGTGCCTTTTCGAATCCCTTTTATCTGCAGATTGTGAGGACTGAGATGAAGATGTCCTTTTACCATTTCTGTCACTGCTCCTTGTAGTGTCTCTGTGATTTTTAGAGCCACTTAGGCTTCCTCCACTCCTGGCTTTTGAAGAGTCTCTCTCACGACTCTGACGGTCCTTTTTCCTGCTCAGCTCCTTCTCCTGCTGCTTGCTCCTCTCGGATGGTCCTCTGGTTTGTTCGTCCTTGCTGAGGCACACAGCCTCCCGGTCTCTCGGGTGACTTCTGTCTGGGGTTGCTGGTCCATTATAGTCACCAAAGTCAACATCGCTGAGCCGGTCCACGGAGAGACTGTCAGCATGGGGGTCAAGTTTAGGAGAGGGGCTCCCAGAAAAGCGCTCCGACTGGGAGCTCACGTCGTCATACTCCACCAATGTCCGAAGTTCAACCTCTTTTTCAAAGGCGCTTTTTCGACCATTGTCAGGGTCTCCCGTTGTACCGGTGTGCCACAAGTCTCTATCCTTAGGCTGCCTGCGTTTCTTTCTCCTAGAAGCCGATGACCGCCTCTTCTCACGGTGTCTCTCTCGCTGAGCGGCACCGCTCCCAGGTTTACTACGCCTGTCCTGCCTATTAGCATTTCTCTGTGCAGAGGGGCTCCGTCCCCGACCCTCACGAAGCACCTCCGAATTAGGCATTTATCTACCAAATAAACGCTATAGCCACGTCGAGAATAATATTATATTATGTATTTTTTTTACCTAAGCTATGTCCCTTGCTGTGTTGTGGAACAAAACATTGGGCTAGCTGTGTAACAGGCTAGTTAGCTAACGTTACAGCAAATTCACAATTAGACAGCCAGCCAGCTAGCTAGCTAAATCACAAGCTTAACGTTAGCATTACAAAGCTAGCACGATTGAGGTTCCAGATAAAGTGAGTTACTCCAGACGATAATTCATGACACTTGGTGCCACCTGATTCTGTTGCACAAAATTCACAATATGGTGCGTAGTTATAGAGGCAGTCGATACTCAACCATTGTATTCCAGGACGGACATCTCCTAGATTTGCTAGCTAGTGCTAGTCGATGTAGCCGGCTAGTCTCCGCCAGCTAACTGTGTCCAGCTAAACAGTCGCATTCCATTTCATGGTCAAAGCACAGGCCCAAAGCACCTCCAAATTTAAAATCCAGTTCTTCTAAATTGTCACTGTCCATGCGAGCATGTAAATCCATTCACCGGATAGTGTTAAAGTGCGAGTAAAAAACTCCGTCGCCTTCTCACAAACTTCTTCTCGCCTTCCATCACACTCCAATGTGCAACAAGGAAGTGAATAGCACGCGAGTTGGCTGGATAGTCGCCGCTAGCTAGCTAGCCGCTTAGCAACTTAGCTAGCCAGCTTTCTTTTCTCCTTGCGTGGAGTTCAAGGCAACTCAGCCAATATGCAGGAAAACAATGCCATTCAAAAACACCTCCGCTCTCACGTATCCCGCCTGGATGTTTCTCCCTCCGATAACGGCATGATCCAAAAGTGGCAAACGTCCCTCCGCGTACGATGACTCCAAAAATCCCTGGAATTTATTTCAAAATAATATAACTTTGTTCGCAATGTGGCTAACGGTACAGCTCGCCTGGGCCCAGACAGCTTTCAAACTACAGGCCTTGTGCGTCGGCGTCGACCAATGGTACCCGTATGCGTAATCCAGCTCAGCGGTTACGTCAACACGAAGGGAAACCCCTACCTTCAAAATATACAGATAACAGCGCGATCGGAGGAAATATAAAAAAATGTGACATTAAAACAAAGCTGTAGTTTCCATGCGTCACGTAAACGGCACACGAGATCATTCGTCTTGCCATACAGTAATATAGGAACTTAAAGTGCATAAACACGACACACTCTCATAATCACATATTTTTTTTGTTTTTAAACTGCTGTACTACTATATAAATCCTACAATAGCATTAAACACAAGCATATAATTTAATAAACTGATTATTTCCATGCAGGCTGAAGTAAAAGTTGTGACTTTAGTTGCATGTATTGTCACATAAATGGCACGTTTTTACTTAGTAGGACACATTTTCCTGTAATTCCTTAAATAATTTTTGCACCTTATTCCATCTTAATGTTTTCTTAAACACTACTTGATTAACTTTTTTATTTGATTCTATCATCCAACACAGTCCTGAGACACACATGCATATTTTAAATATACAGTTTGTGAAATAAACTGCAGCATGTAACACAAACACGGTGTTGTGCATCAAGCTGAAGCATAAATGAGGTTAAAAAATCTCTAAAAAGTGATAGAATTTATGCCCATTTTGGCCTCTAAGCCAACTTTACAGGCTCAAGTGAAAGTTGTGACTTGCAGATTCATTAATTGTATGTTATTTAAATGATCTGGAAATGTGTTGCTACTCTACTACTAGTTTTAAATATTAAAAAAAGATCTATTTGATTCTGACATGACGTACATTTTAATCCTGCAAACCGAACATTCAAAACTCATCTGTTCTTAATCTATTACCCCTTTATTCCTAATTAAGACATGCATTTAAATGAAACACAAGGGACTATAGGGTTAATAACTCTGACAGCCCGAGCCAGGAAAAAAGTTAAATTGGCAAAAAGAAAAATCTTTGCATGCCTGGAAACAATTAGTTTTTATCAGAATGTGTCAGAGCAGCACGTATAGGACAAAATGTTATGGAATCACTGCTTTAACGGGGCACCGGGGATTCCTTTATCGCAAAATAACGCAATGAAAATCCTTCGCCGAGTTGGGTAAAAGGTCTTAAATGTTGGAGTTCAAAAAGGTTAAGGGTTGTTAAATCCCTCGTAGGTTTAACGGTAATGATCAATGTTGTCGGTGCATTTAGAGACATGCTCGGAAAAGTGAGTAACATGGAAACATACTGCACTTATTTGATAATGATAGAGGAGAATAAGAAGAATTAGTTTGACTTTCTAGATTAAAATAAGTGTCTATAACCATACTAGACTTTAAACTGAGGTGTAAAATGAGAATTAAATGGCATTTTTTGCAAAAATATTAAGTGAAATTCCTCCTGTTTTTACATTTTCATGCTTAAACGGTTTTTAAACCAGTTTCCAAAACCTGCAACAAACTCTTGTGTTGCCTTAACTGGGTAATACAGGACCATCAAAACACTACATTACAGTTTTTAACACTTTAACAAGCCTGTTTCCTGTGACCGAACATCCACAAACTGCTAGTAGCTAATCTATACCACGATAAATCAATGCTTCAGCAGCATAGCAGAGAATGAGGCTGATCAAATACGCAACACAAAGCCTGATTGCGTCAACACACACATGGGCTGCATCAAACTTTCTGTGCTCATTGTAGTCAATAGGCACCATTGAATTCTCTTTTAAGCTGCCTACAGACAGGAGGTGAAGAAATAATCAAATTAAAGCAAAAAGAATCAACAAACAACTTGAAGGGGGAAACAAAGACAAAAAAAACCTTGAAAGAGCAACGCCGCCAAACAAAAGGGAGCTGAATTCAAAGGAAGCCACCACCGTGATGCAGTTTCATGTCGGTGTGACGTGAAATCCGCTGAAAACGCCGTGACTCGCTGGCAATTTTTTTTTTATGATCGTCAGATAGCGGCTGTCCCTTTGAGTAAGGTCGAGGTCCTGAATCGGTCAAGATAAGCCGCGCTCACAGACGTATAAGCGGGGAGAAAAAAAAGCCCAACCCGTCCTAGAGGAGCCTTCGTTTGAAGATAAGTGCCTGCTCAGTGCGGGGAGAAAAAAAAAGTCAAGACTGCCAAAGATTAAACAAATACATTAGGAAGATGTTATTAGTAATATCCACTTTATTTGCCATTTCCAAATAACTCACAAAAAAAAATAATAATAATGAATTGAAATGTAAGCGTCACCTCTTGCATTCACAAACAGATAGGCTACATTAGTGGTTATGTTCAAAAGAAGTAAACATGAAGGAAACATTGAAACCGATGGCATACATACAACCATCCAATCAAAGACATAGATACCTAGATTGATTTTTTTCTTCTCCATTATTCCAAGGGTATTTATGTATATAAAAGGCAAAACAAGTTATCTGAATACCCAGTAGTGCTCATAGCTTCCACACAAACATCTGTCTTTAGTATGCCGCTGAAAACATTTGGGCCTGTTAACAATGATTATGAACGCCTCTGGAAAAAACAAAAAAAGCACTGAAATGAGACCGTGTTAAGCCGATGTTAGCAAGCACTATGGTGGTCACTTTGAGTATAGTAGTAGCAGAGACACACAGCAGTTAATGTCATGGCCTTAAGCTGAGGAAGGGATCCTTACACTGGATGTCTGATTCACTTTCAGGGGAGGAGGGGTGGGGGTGCGTTCCAATCATGGTGTACTGGAGGTTAGCCCTTAGAACCTTTAAACTGCCGCGCGTCGTCTCGTTTCGAAACTCTCTGCTGTGTGCTTTTCAGTAAACAAGAAATCCCACAGACATTCGTTTTGCATGATTTTTTTTGTAAAACACTGAACTACGTATGTGAGAACTGTGGGACTCAATGAGTGTTACGCACTTAAAAAACAAAAAAAACAACAATAGTGATGAAGATGTGTTTTTCCCGGGGGTCAGATCTCAGCTCAAGTGCTTCTACTTATTATCTTTTAAAAGTTTGCAGACAGTGTTTTTTTTTTTTCACATTTCCTCTTTGCAATAACAACAGTCGTTTTGCATAGACTCCAGTGTTGGGTGTCCAGAAATCCTTTAGTGTCAACGGTGAGCAATGCACACGCGTATTTATCCCTACATTAGTGACTTAAACTAGATTAGAGTGAAACGTGGCGGCAACCTCTGGAGGCTTTATTAAAAATATTGGAAAAATAAGTCTCAAAAAAAGAAGAGTGGCTCAGTCATAAACTAGGAATCACGGGGCAGATTTCACAGTGTGTTTTGGTCGATGCAATTTAGCCGTTAATCG